TAGTTAGTTAGTTAGTTAGTTAGTTAGTTACAGAGTTCTACTTCTGTATTTTGAATGAAACGGCTCTCAGTAGCAGAGTTCTGACAGGCTTTGTAATGAAGTTATGCTGCATTAATCCCAATAGTTTATTCATATTAAACAAGTCTCATGCGTCTGTCATTCTGCCCTCTCAGGTTGTGGAAACAGCAGCATGAGTGGGGACATGTACAGAGCCGGGTACCGCTCCATCACCAACATAGATTACTCCCCCGTGTGCATCAGCACCATGAGTGCCAGATACAGCCACTGTGCCGAGATGACCTGGCATCAGATGGACGTACGCCAGCTCTCGTTTGACGACGCATCCTTCGACGTGATCCTCGAGAAGGCAACGCTCGATGCCATCATGGTGGAAGAGAAGACGCCCTGGGAGGTGTCCCCTGAGACCATCTGYTTCATTCATCAAGCTCTCACAGAGGTAATTTTACTGATCTTTGAATCTTACCGCAAAGTTTGGTGTTTTAGAACCCGAGATGCTCAATTTGAAGGGCTTGTTTTAAAGCAGGGGCGCCYAAACTTTTCCCAAGAGAGGGCCAAAATGAAAATCCATCCAAGGGCCGCAGACCAMATGCTAAAATTTAATACATGCAGTGCAAATACTTTATAAGTTAAGTCCTTTTATTTTTTTTATGATTAGGCTAACACCCAATGTGGTAGCCCATGTTTTTTTGTTTGTTTTTTGGCCTTAACGTAGCTTTCTATGTTCAGAATATTTAAACAGTTATGCCAGTGTTCGGAAAATCCATATAACAAAAAATAATAACAAACAAAAAAAAGACAAAACAAGTAAAGATTTTTTGGTACGAACCAGTGTACCGTCCAGCTCTATGTTCAAACATCACAAAGACTGACTGGGCCCTCACTGGTATGATGATTTGAATGCTCTGCTGTAACCAGAGTTTATCTGTGAATTACTTTCTGACAGTCTAATCAGGAAATAGTGGTCCTTAACGTTTCCACTCCACAGCCCATCAGTTGACTGACAAGACACTGAGTGCACTCAGATGTTGGCCGCAGTATCAACCACATCAATATGACAACGACAATGTTTTGATCATTAATTGTGCTAGACCTCGACACGCTGAGGGGAGAGGACACCACTAATAACTGAAGTAGGCAGCTCAAAATCTTCTGAATGGGTAAGAATTGCTCAAAATACACTTACTGCCAYGTTTGAAGAGCAACTGAAATAGTCACAATTCAGAGTTGAATTTTTAATTACATTTAGATTCAGAGTCAACATTAGGACTGAATATAGAATTGCAGTATATGCCACAATGGGAATAGTCACAACTTTTTCATGTTCAAAATGGAAATAGGAATACAAATAGAAATAAGGAGATTTTCAGACATTTTTAAAATTTTTTAATGCATACAACTACCAGATTAGGATTGGATGTTGAAGCCAAAAAATGATCTAAGATGCCAAGTCTTGTTTACATGAAGGGGCGGAAGCTGGTTCCATTCTGCCCTCAACATTTARGTTCCTGTCAGAAGTCTCATAGTATATTAACAGTCGATCATTTATCACATTTATGGGTTAGACTACAATCATCTCTTAAATTATCTTTGGTTTTTTGATAAACTACTCCTCTGCTAACTGTTCTGCCTTGATCCTGCCTGCAGTCATCTACATATTGGGCGGATGGACATGAGAGAACTCAGAATATTTCCTGTATTAACTCTGAGTGCATTTCAATAAGTTTAGAGCCTTGTGACAGGTTGGACAGCAAATAGTAGGGCTGTTGTTTTGCATTTTTTTAATTAATTTTATTTGTTTATTAAGTCTAGTTTTGTACTTGCTCTCATTTTGTCAAATTGTGTGAACCTGGTTTTCATGGTTATTTTATATATTATATAAAAGGTTACATGGTCACTGAGTGATGAATCATTCCTGAAACACCATAAAAACAGGTTTACAGTGAAGACCTGCAAAGTTGCCTCTCAGCTAGATAGATGGTTGCCAGATTGAATCCTAACCCAGGACCTTTCTGGGTAGAGTTTGCATGTTCTCTCCATGCATGCATGAGTTTTTTACGGGTACTCTGGTTTCCTCCCATAGACCAAAACATGACTGTTAGGTTGGATGGATGGATGGATGGATGGATGTGAAGGAAATTTTGTAATTGATTAATTGAATGTTAGAGGCAGTTTTGTATTTTATACTTTCTGATTATTTCAGCCTGTAAGGTTAAAGCAGACAGAGTTGGTGTGTGTTATCATGTGTTCTTTCTTTAGTCTAAACAAAAATGAGTGATGTTCTGACGTCTGACGTAAAAGGTAACATCTGGGGTGTAACCAGGAAGAGATGAACAATATAAGCTCAATTCATTATTATATAGAAGGAAGTTGTCAGTGTTTTGCAGAGTGTCTGCTCAGAGCAGGGCTYCTGTTTTTTKTTTTGATTCAGTCCAAGGTCTTACTGAGGCCTGTGTGCTGTACTGTGAACCTGATTGGAGTCAGAACAGTGAGAATAAAGTTTTAAAGAAATCCAGCTGATTCCTGTTTATTCGTACGTACCATTTTGAACAACGCATTTTCCTACGTATGGATGGATGGATGGATGGATGGATGGATGGATGACCCTTCACCCAACACAAGATGTGAAAAAAAACGTCTATCCTTCCATCACTGTGGATTATATTCTTAGCTATGAGCTGTGCTACATTGGGAGTAGGTGGACAAAGGGAGAAATTATAATAACTTATCCCCCACCACGTCTGAAGCCTGTTTATACCCAGTCAGAAAACAATGTCCAAAATGACATAGAGATCAATCCACTGTCTCATGTCGTATTGAGTGCAAACCAAGCTTAACAGTTTACTGTACACCGTGTGTAGCTGCTTACTGTTTTTTCATTACCGCATTAAGATGCCACTCAAATACGCTTTAGACCTTTTTTGGATTGTATCCGGTGTTCGCACTTTTTCTCAACTTGTGGGCACTCTCAGAATGTAACCCCTGCAAAAAATCTAGGCTTCGCTCAAGTTTAAACAAGGCCAAGCTTGACTCATAAAGTTAACAAATGAACCAAGTTTGTTTTTAAGAACAAAGCCTGACAGTTTCAACACGCACACACGTGCACGGAGAGGAGCTGGTTCTCTTGGTGTTTTCCTCTCGCAGAAGGGTGTATTAAAGCAGGATCAGTGAATGTGGTTGGTGGGCAGATGGGGGGATTTTGACTTCAGAAGGAGTGGAACTAAACTTACGAAGCAAACTTGTTCAGACGACGGTATCGGGAGTCAAGATCCTCCTCGGCTGTCGTCAACTCCCTCCTTTTGCACCACCTTTTCTTCTCGCCTCAGATTTTCCCTTCATTTCTATATTAGTTTCTCTCAGCTGACGTGTGAACAAGGCTGTGTGCTGATTATGATGTGTGATTGTCTTTGTGCTGTACTTTCAGCGTTGTGCACCTATGGAAGCACTGGGTTGCTGTTAGAATCACAGATAAGTCCGTAGTTTCCTGCGTGACACCGCGGCTTATTGGGGTGCAGCAGCAGTCACGATTCATGCTCGTGTGTGTGCATTCTGCAGGAATGTGGGAGGTCTGCTTTCTTACAGAAAACATTTGCACAAACTAAAACAGGGGAAGACAGAAAAAAACAACAAAGTGAAGAGAGAACAGCTCGAGAAGCCAAAAAAATTGGACTGTCAGAGGACTGGAGAAAGGAAGAAGGGTGGGGATCCTTAAAAATCAGACAGAATACGGATGAAAAAAGGAGGAAGATGTGAGTGAAAAACCTGCATGACAGCAAAGAAGAAGAGAGGAGGACAAGAAGCAAACCACAGCTGACAGAAAGCTAATGAGCAGTGTGTCAGTATGAGGCCAATGGGACAAATCACTGCTTTTAGGCTGTTTCCAAACAATTACCTCAGCTAAAGTACAAAAAAATGCCGGCGTACGATAAACAAAGGATCCATTTTCACACTTACAGTACTTATACTTCATTCTCAGCTAAGCGTCACAGTTTCTAAAACTTTCGTCAAAAAGAAAATCGGCCAACAGAGGTAAATTATTTGTGATTTTATTTTGCGATCCAGAGCTCAGATCCTGCGACAGAAGCGCAGGTTGCTGAGTTTACCAACCGGTCCGTTGTTATTTTGGTTGCTAACCAGCTCACAGACTTCGTATGTGCAAACAAAAATCTGGCTGTAGAGGCCGCGGTTTACCCGAGTGTGAAATTTAATTCACAGCCCGACACGCTCTATGAATCACTCTCGCTGTTGCCATGGCGACCCCTTCATTGGATATCATTTCAGATTAACACTTTTAATTGCTAACCTTTTTGCTCCTATTTAAAAGGTAAGTCGCAGTCTGTAGACTCACTCAAAGAGACGAGTTCACCTCAAGACGAGGGATTGTTGGCAAAAGGCGGGCAATTGTGTTTTTGACTAAACGTTTCATGCACTGCTGGGCAAATCCTCTGAAAGTAATCATTGGATGCATGTCAGCAACTCATTAACTTTTATAATAAACCTGATTCAAGTTGGACACCACAGCTAATAGATGTAGAAAACACAAAAAAGATTTGAAGTCAGTCATTTTTACAGATTTTGAGCTAAAACATGATTCAGTTATAGCTGAGTGATTTATAATACATACTTTTAATATCCATCCGTCCATTGTCTGCCACTTATCTGGGGTCGGGACGCGGGGGCAGCAGCCTAAGCAGAGACACCCAGACTACCCTCTCCCCAGCCACTTGGACCAGCTCATCAGGGGGAATCCCAAGGCATTCCCAGGCCAGCTGAGAAACATAGTCCCTCCAGCGTGTCCTGGGTCTTCCTCTGGGTCTCCTCCCAGTGGGACATGCCCGGAACACCTCACCAGGTAGGAGTCCAGGAGGCATCCTAACCAGATGCCCGAGCCACCTCAACTGACTCCTCTCGACTTGGAGGAGCAGCAGCTCTATTCTGAGTCCCTTCCAGATGACTGAGCTTCTCACTCTATCTCTAAGGGAGAGCCCAGACACCCTGCGAAGGAAACTCATTTCGGCCGCTTGTATCTGCTATCTCGTTCTTTCGGTCATTACCCAAATTTTGTGACCATAGATGAGGGTAGAAACGTAGACCAAATGGTAAATCGAGAGCTTCACCTTCTGGCTCAGCTCCCGCTTCACTACGACAGACCGGTACAGCGCTCGCATCACTGCAGATGTAGCACCAATCCACCTGTCGATCTCCCGCTCCATTCTTCCCTCATTCATGAACAAGACCCCGAGCTACTTAAACTCCTCCACTTGGGGCAGGACCTCCTCCCCGACCCGGAGGCAGCACAGTACCAGTTTCCGGCTCAAGACCATGGTCTCGGATTTGGAGGCACTGATCCTCATCCCGGCCGCTTCACAGTCGGCTGCGAACCGCTCCAGTGAGAGCTGGAGATCATGATCTGATGAAGCCAATAGGACCACATCATCT